ATACAATTCCAACGAGCTCGGGAGCCCAATCATACTATGAAGTTGACTTCAGCCCAAAAACCTATGACTCGTTTGGTGGATCCTTAATATTTTCAGACTCAAATATTTCATGTTATGTTTTCAGCCAATTTTTCCACATTTACTTGTACTAAAAAACAAGTAAGCGTAACTCATCTGAGGCGAAGAGGAACATATTTACTAGTTATATCATCGGCAATTGCTGTAATCTTCCTCAAGTGTTAAAAGAGTGTTTTCTAACCACACTAGATAAGTTTAGTTTTGTTGGCACTAAAACTTGAACAGATAGAGATGAGTGCAACTTACAAGTGATGTGGACGATCTTTAGAGATCGATTGAGTGCTAGATGGTGATCCTTCCTGTCCTTGGATGCAGATCCTGAATAGAAGGAAGCCAAGACTCGTAAGGTCTATGGAACCAGTGTGGAACCAGCCTAAGACCCTCCGATGCCGAAGTAAGTTTGTTTTCTAAGAGTTTTTGCTGTTGACAATATATTAGTATAAAAGTCAAGCTGAAAAGTCTTATCCCTATATTGTAGTGAAGGGACCTATTTATAGAGGGCATTTTGTATGCTCTTGGTACTTAATTTCGATGTGGGACTCGTGGGAGGGCCCTATGAGGTTGACACGAGTCCTTAGATATTTCGGGCGGGTGCTTCGAGGTTGATTCTGCAGAATCGGTAGGTGATACCGATTGTAGACAATGCTGGGTCTGTAACAACCGTTTGCTGCTTTGAGGCAATATCATCGGTAGCCGATGCTGATTGTTCGGAGCCTTGGGCACTTGGGGAGTTTCTCTAATCCACGTGTCATTGGATGAGTGGAGGGTCAGATATTGTACAAACAAGTTTGTTTTACAACATTTTTCAGTTAGTTATCTTTTTGGTTTTTGCGTTACTTGGTTCAAATTTTGGAATTTAAAAATATCATGAATATTTATGCAATATTTTTTTATTATAAAAAGACCAGTAAAATGATCTGTTTAAAATTTTGGTCGTGAAATAAGACACACAAAAATGTTGTCTTTGATATTACAGTCGTTTCAAGATTAAAAGTCTTTTTTCCAGCAAAAGAAATATTAAAAAAGTCTTTACCGCAATGATACGGAAGTCCACAAAATAATTGAATTTGAAATAAAGAAAGAAAGCTTTCTCTGAGTCTCTCTCTCTCTATCTCAGCTGGTGTGCTTCAATTATCATCAACGACATCCTCCTCCTCCACTTCTTAACTCTCAAGCGTTCTCTCTCTAATCTCTAAAATGGGTTCGAGTAGTAGTCGACTGGGGTCCCGCCCATCACGGGCCCGAGTCAATCGCACCACCAATCGTTCCATACTCTCCTCTTTCGTCTGCGGTGGCTCCTCCTCACGTTCTACTTACGAGGTACCTTCTTCTTATTCTTCTTCATCGTCGTCCGCTAAATTTGATGTCTTTAATTCAATTTCCAATACCCATTTTTGGATTTCTCGTCATTTCGACCTTTTTGAATGCAAAATTCGATTTTTATTGGTTTTTCGATGATTTGGGATTTCATCATCTGGTGCAAAATATAGATACCTATATCATAATCATGAAACAAACCAGTGCAAGTTTAAAAGCCTTTTAAGCATTTTTCTTTAAAATAAGTTGTTTTGGGGTTTTATTATCCTCAAATTCAATTTGCAATCGAAGAAAAATGATATGCGATTTGGCCAGCTGATGCAGAAGGTTGGCCTCGTGCTCGGTAATATCGTAATTATTCTTTGACTTATCATTTACCTGTAAACGCAAATATTGTCCCCATTATCGTTGTGATGCTCTTGTTGAAAAATGGGGATTTAGTTCATCGGGTCATTTAATTGAGGGTTCCGAGTTTTTCTACCTGAATCCTTAAACATTTCATGATTCAGTTAGTAGATATAAGCTATATTTCTAATTATTTTGTGGCGTTAGTTTTGTACTTGGTAGTTATAGATTATGGAAAGAGACTGATTTGTTTAGTTGTTTTTCCGGCAGATGGAAGATCATCCAGCAGAGTGTCTTGTGAAATATGCAGAGCAACGTAATCTGGATATTAATCAAGTTCGGAACTCCACCGAGGGAACTTCGTTGGTCTCCAGTACAGGGGCACGGTTCACCTGCCCCATTATTGAAATTGGATCATCATCTGAGAGCTCTGTTGCAGCCAGTCAGAATACTTATTTTGAAGATGGTTTAAGCAGTGTTCATACAAGTAACCAGGGGAAGTGCTTGTCCAAAAGCAAAGAACTGATATCTCCTCATCAGGTAAGCGCCGATTATAGTCATGATGAATCTTGTAGGGATAATAGTACTACAGCTAGTACTTCGTTTAAAGAACAACAATCTTCAGACCCAGTCTCTGTGAATTGTTCCGCTAATATGGATGCAGTCAATGGCATTGGTAATTCAGCAGACAAGAATGTATCTCAGACCTGTCCTGAGGTTATGCGTCCAAGTAGTTCCTCTCCACAGGGGATTCGGAATTCTCGCTCTACTGAAGTGTCTGTTGAGAATCATGTGGCTGAAGTAATGGCTGCCCATAGTTCTAATGCTGATACGGAATCTGCTCGTGTTTCTGAAACACCATCGTCTTTTCACTCACTTGGAAATGATTCCCTTCGAGAGGCAATACCTTCTGGTTTAGGATTCCTTGTGTCCAATAGGGAACAAGGCGAGGAAGATGGAAGTATACTTCATGTTGATGTCATGAGTATTTCTTCCAACCTTTTGTCTAGAAGCAATGCTGATGCAAGTAATCGTGAGGCCAGAAGGAATGGCAGACGACTATTCTGGGATGCATTTTCAAGACGCAGTTCCAGAAGGTTTATTGATTCTCCAACAATTCTTTTATCTACTGATGATACTGAGGATCTAGGATTTCATGACAGATGGCTACTTGGTTTGAGTGGTGATTTTTTTGATGATGGGATTGGAGCTGATTCTGGTTACCAGGGCAATAGAATTCCCAACTCGAGTGAACGACGACGGCATTCTAGATCCGAGGTGATCTTTTAGACATTAAAAGTTTATTATGTGGCTTAACTTGGATATGAAATTAGGGCTTTTTGGACTCTTTGGTTCCATTCATTCAGGAGATTTTTGGCTCCTTTGGGTATCAACGGTATATGCATGTTCATTTATTTGTTTACTCACTTGTCGTTCATTAACGGTACTTTAATATTTCCTTCATTAAATGTTTATCCAAATGTTTTTATGGGGCAGAAGAATCTATGAATTGTAACAGCTCTTATTTTTTCTGGGTTCTCTCAATGACTTTTATTGATTTGCATCGGCATGACTCTTCTTTGTAGGTCTGGGAAAGACTTCGTGTTGGCCTTGATGACAATGGTCAGCGTAATACCTCTTGTCCTACAGGAATCCACCCTCGTGGCATGTGCTCATGTGGCTCATTCTTGACCGAAGAGTCTAGTACTCGGGCAAGTATATCAAGAATTGTCATGCTTGCTGAAGCTCTATTTGAGGTCATTTTCTCTGTTTTAGTTTTCTTTCCTTGTCATGATTGTGTCTTCTCATATTGTCCTAAAATTACTTGGGTCTTGACCTATACTAATTCAAACAGTTTAAGATCCATGAGTTCCATGTTATGGTATTCTTGTCTTGTATGTGCTTTTGTTTTTAGAGCTAAAATCCTCTGGTGGCCCCCGGAATCTTGTTTGGTAGATCGGATTTGTAAAAAGAACCGTTGGTGGTTATACTGTGAGTGAGGAGGGTATTTATAAAATAAGTTCTTGCTTTTTGTTTTGTTCGCTTTTTACCTGGGGCAGCTGTTAATTATCCCCGCATTACCTAATTATGTAATTTTCTCCTGTTTTGGGGCTAAAACTTAATTAAATTAGGTCTGAGTTTGGTATATTATTCATTTTGAGGCCTCTTGGATGGCTTTTAGCTGCATGCAATCATTCACTATCACTATCTAAACATAATTTTGTTGTAATGTATGACGTGCAGGTTTTGGATGAAATTCATCGCCAACCTGTGTCACTTTCACTATCTATGGTCTCAGTCCCTGCCCCAGCATCTGTTGTCGACTCTTTTCCTCTTAAGAGTCACACAAAGGTTGACACATTAAAGTCTGGGGATGATGTTGCACAGTAAGTTTTATTTAATTTATGCCTATTTTTCTCTTGGTTGTGGGGTTTGGTGTTGCTGAGTGTTTTCTGATTTGTGGGATTCAGTTTTTCACGGCCTTTGTTCATTTCATCAACAGTGAGTATGATGCATATGTTTGATCATGGTGAGTTAATAATTGATAGGTGTTACATATGCCTTGCTGAGTATGAGGAAGGGGACAAAATTCGAGTTCTTCCTTGCCATCATGAGTATCACATGTCATGTGTTGATAAGTGGCTCAAAGAGATACACGGGTATTGTCATTGCCCCCCACCACTTTCTAATGATTGTCCTTCATTTCCCTTGTTTCATACTGAAAGTCTTTCTGTTCTCTCCCTACTGCCTCTTTCTTCCCTCTTACAGCGTTTGTCCACTTTGCCGAGGAGATGTTCGTGAGGGTGTCGTCACTGACTGTTCCGTCTCTAACTCGGAGATATCTTCTGTTTGATATAATTGTACATAGTGATGTAAATAGTTATGATGGTTCTTCGCTTTTACAATGACATGTTATCTGTCCTCCAACACTAACTTGTATCTGAATTTTCCACGATCCACAATATTGTAGCATCTTTTTCTCATGACGCGGCTTTGTTGTACTTGTATAGAGATGCAGAAAATGAGATAAATTGTATGAATGTGCATCTATCAAACACATCTTTGGTATTTGTATCAAGGCCCTTTAGCATGCAGCAAAGAGTTAAATTAGTAGATAAAATAGAGTTGGATTGCTGATATATATCTAATTTAGAAAAAGGTAAACCCCAGGAGCAAATCAAATTCCGAACAACAGGAGGATGTTACATTCCCTACATTTACAAGTCAAACATAGAGTTTGAATTACTTGGAGAACAGAGATCTTCTCTCAAAGTTCATACACATTCAGCAATTTGACAATCAAAATAAATACACCAATAAACTGATAATACCAATACTCTTATAAAAGGGATTAAACCCAAAATATATGTCTGTCCTCATCAATAGCCATGCCCTGGGATCCAAAAGGGATTCTGGTGGTCTTGGGTAAAAGCTGGTTTAGATCTCAGCTTCCTTCCATCACTAGGAGTGTGATCATCACAGAAAGGATTGGTTTCATGGAACTTTGAAGTATTGTGTGGATGATCTCCGGGAGCAAAGAGATTCGGGTGACAATTCTCCTCGTCGTCTTGGAATGTCGTCCATCGAGCTGAGTTCATGCCATGTTTCTCTCTGGCAGCATTTCTCAAGCTCTCCATCTCCCCAACATGGTCCTTGAATTCTTTTTTCACCACATCCAAAACAACATCTCCATACCGATCACACCATGACCTTAAACATCGAAAATAAAAGAGTAAATAAATAAATAAGAAGTGTAAGTGTGATGGTTTTAGCTGATTATATGCTCAAACACTGAAGGATTACAGCATAAAAAGAGAGAGGGTTTGCTCACTTGGGAAAGAACTTCTTCAGGTCTGCCTTGTCCACGGGAAGCTTGGTGGAAATCGCTTCAATTTGGTCATTCCTGATTATATTTGTGAAAGAAAGATTGCTTTTCAATACAATGCACATACTAAATAGTCACCAAATGCCAGATAATAGAAGAGGCTTACGAAAATTTAAGATTTGGATTTGAAGTGCAAAGCTCTGTCTGAATTCTTGACAGCTCCTTTTTTATCTTCTCCCCTAAAACCTTCATATTAAGAACAAAGTGACCAAGTTCAGTTTCAGCTCAAGCTTCAAATATTATCCCAAAGAATAAGAAATTGAAATAACGATTTGCTACCTTATCAATGAAGAAATCAGAAGGAGAACCATCTGAAAGCAGCTTCCTTTTTATAAGCTTAGTGTCCGGCCCTTCACCCATGGGGCTTGAGACAAGCTTCAAGTGAACCTCACTATCCGATCTTTCATTAAGAGGCAAAGGAGTTGTCTCATCCTCCGAGTCACTTCTCTTCCATTTCTTGAATCCATCAAAACCCCATTGCTTTTTGGCTGATTTGGAAGGTGTTTGTTCATTTTCATGACCCTGATCACCACCTCCACCTCCAACACCATGTCCCTCTCTCTGAAACAGATTCTTAAAGGGTTTCCTCCTTGTTCTATCTGAGCTGCCACTTTCTTTCACCGGCTCCTGTGGCAAGCTTTCTGGCATGAGAATCGACCTTGCCTCATTTTCTTTGTAATGATATCCTAATTCATGCTTCGAAGAGCTAGAGGAAGAGACTTTCGACGACTCGGGCAAATCGAATATGCTTCTTTCTTCTCTGCTTTTCCCCTGTTTGTACGGTGATACAAAGCCCAAAACTGAAGCTGCTCCTTTAATTTGCTTCATTGCAGAGCCATGCTTCGATTTGTTCTTCGAATTCGACTTATCTTTGTCTTTGTTTAGCAAGCATTTCTCATCCTTTAAGTCAATGACAGACCACTGCTCTTGATCTGTATTCTCCTTTGGGTCCTTTGGTGGTAGCCCTGCAACAATTACATCTCTGGCCTCAATCTCAGCTCCCTGTACTGCTAATCGTTGCAGCAATGGCCTCTTCGAAGAATGGTACTCATCTTCAGATATGCATTTTGCATACAAGAGTTCCTAAAGATTTAAAGCTCCATTTGGTTACTTAGAAAACACAATGAAAGAAAGGAAAATGAAGAAGAAGAAGAAAAAAAAGGGAAGACTGGTTTACCTGCAAGAATAGCAACTTATCTCTCAATATAGCCGGTTGTTCACGCTCAGTGGGAGAGGCAATTAGGGTGTCAAGCAAATGCGAGCGGAAAGCTGAGACCTCAGTCTCAGCCAAAATGCCTTCTTTATGAAGACCCATCAAATTTAACATCTGGTGGAAAGAGTCTTGCTGCCATTTGAGATTGTCTGATTGCAGCTTTGAAAGCTTGTGCTCTGCAGCCGGCAAACGCCGTTTCTTGAAGCTGAAAGGAAGAATGGTCTTGCATAAGTTGGTCACCGAGTCATGGAGAGTAGAGTAGTATGTGGGTGCGTATGAATACACCATTCTTGAAATTCTGGGATCTTGATTTGAATTGCCAAATGGGTTGAAGCGAGATCGAATGTTTCTGCAAATTGCCAGAGCTGTGATTTTGATTTTGGCTTGTGGGTGTTGTTTTTTGTATAGTGAAACACACTGTGAAGCTGATGGTGGGTTAGAGGTCGATTTCAGATTTTGAATTTGGGGAGACGGGAAACGGTCACTAGGAACTAGCCGTTGCGGAGAGCCTAAAAAGGTAAAATCACATGGTGGCAAAATAATGAAACGTCGTCGGTTTTGCTACGTTTCCCTTGGCAATGAATTTTAAATTTTGATGTATCTCTTTGAACATTGTGTAAATAATAGACTGTTTTCTTCCCCTACAAAAGGTGCCTTGACATTCTTAGGCTTAGCCTTTGGTAGGGGAGATATGTGCAAACTCACCTTCTTTTATTCCTAAAAATTTGAAAAATAGACATTTTAATTCTTCAAATTTAGAAACTAACTTGTTTTGAACTTGACATGACAAGAATTAGGTCGAAGTGTTATTTGAGATCTCGAAATTTTGTACCATCATCTCAACCTCCATATTAAGTCACATATCAACTCAATTTTCGATTATGGCATTATCTTGAGATAATCTAAAATATGGTAGTTTTCTGAACTTTTTAAGGCTGGCTGTGTAAAATGAGTTATTTTTTAAACAAAACTTGTATTATATGGCTCTTTAAAAACCAGACAGGTAAACTAGGTATCCTTTTTTCTTGCTACCAAAGGCTATGTCTGAGCCACATCAAATGTGAAAACTTTTTTCAAACGTTTTGGACTCTTGTATTACTCACACTCCACTCCAATCAAAAGAAAAAAAGAATGAACAAATAATCAAAGCCTATCTTAAAAATCAACTAATCATCTCTCCATTAATAATCAAGACAAAAGATTAGGATCTAATCTAATCTGTAGTGAACTCCAGCTAGCCAGTGAAAGGAACAAAAAAAGGAAAGGTGGGTTTGGGAAGAAAAGAAGAAAAGTTTAGCCAAATTTGGATGGAATCCTAGTTAGCAATGCCAGGTTGTTTACTATCCCAATCTTGAAAATGACATTCCATCTTCAAAGTATCATATAATGTTGCAATTGTTTATAACAATCTCATCTACCATTCCCATAATTTACAGCCAAGATATATCATTTGATTAGTACGACCACAAATAATTTCCACTAAAAAAAAAAAAAGGTCGACCAAGACAAGACAGCAAAGATTGTCCCATAAAATAATGAACCTGTTCTTGGCCCACTGCCCACATGATAAGTGAGTGGTGCATCTTCTCATCAGGTATTCAATTTTAGGGTGGGGGAAAACAATGGATTGACAGTGATCTCTTGTGCAATTTGATTCATCCACTTGCTTGTTTCACAAATTAAAGCCTAGTCAAACAAAATAACTTTTGTCTATTTTCCATCCTTCAAGGATGAAGGATGGAAGATGACAAGAAGCTCTCTCCCTCCCTTTCTCATGCAAATGGAGGAATTATATGGGCCTAACAAAATGTTGCAGCTTCTAATTAACTTTAAGTTTTTAACATGATTGGGGGAATCAAAGACTTCAACCAAAGAAAAACAAAGATATAGTAGATTAGATACAAGCTAATTGCTCAGACCAACTCTATAACCATAACTGGAAAAGCTTTATCTAGATTACAATTTCCATTTTTACCAATAGTACAAAAGAGATTTTTACTGGGAGGCAATCCCCATTCTGCAACAGGGGCAATGGGCATTGTTCTGTAGCCATGGAACCATACAGCCAGAATGGAACCTGTGTGCACAGGGCAGGTGCACCAGGGTCTCACCTGGCCTGAATCTTTCCAGGCAGACAGCACACTCATCTTGGTCTGAGGCCTTCCAGCTCAACTTGGCCCAGCTGAACCTCTTTGACCCGCTCTTCTTTGTTCCAAACACTTGTTTCTGCAATTCTCCGAGAAGAATCATAGATCTTCCACCATCCACACATATCTCTTCTTCTCTATGAACACTATGCCTGAATTCAGCATACAACAAAACATGTAAAACACATAGATAAGATAATCAACAACACATGTTATGTTAGCTAGCTAGCAAGAACATATATATTGGCAATTTGTTCTTAATTACCTTTTATTGGGTTCTGATTTTCTTTGTGTTCTGAGTCTTTCATCTAATCTCCCTTTGGCTTCTCGGGCTTCCACTCCCAGTTTCTCATCCATGTATGATTGGTTCAATATGCTTCTTTGCTTTAAAACAATCAAGAAAAGTTAAGAAATATATATAGTTGGTTTGTAACATAATTTGTTATATTGTGTGGCAGAGGGCATAAGGCAGATAATTACCAGGGAAGAGGTGGAGGTATGGTGAGTTTCATGGTTGCCGGCATACAAACAAAAAGAGGAGCGCCTGGTCCAGCCATGTGTGCCCACGCCCGGTGACTCGCCGCTTTGATGGACTCGTCTCCTTCGAGCGCATTCCACACCAGGAAGCATCCCAGCCATTGCAGCTAGCTAGCTAGCTAGCTACCTAGGCAGCTCAAAATTAAAACAAAAGAAAGCAAGTGCTTATATTTGTCTTACAAATGATCCATGTCTATGTCTTCCAATATGATCCTGTAATATGATTTAAGGAAGAGGAGATTATAAGACAGAAGAGCAATAATACAAGCAAAGCTTTAAGAAGAAGAATAGAGTAGTGAATGATGAGAATAATCAGAGTGAAATGAAGATGGCGGTAGCAGACAAGAATAATCAGGGTCCATACCATTGATGGCTGCATAAACAATCTGCATCAATCCTCTTCTGCTCTCTCTTGCTCTCTCAATTATAAATGTGAGTTAGATCTTAAAAAAGTAAGTAAAAAGATTATGAGAGAGAAAGAAGGTCAGAGAGAGAGAAAGTGTGTGAGAATTGAGAAAGGGAATGGAAAGGGTGAGGAAGCTGCAGTGCAACTTAATGGCAAATCATACAAACTGTTTTTTAATTTTTTTGGTCCAAAAGCATACGATGTGTCCAAGACTCCACGCCAAGCGGGGTCAAATGAGGTTCTGCTGCTGACTCAGAGGGTGACGCACCACGTGACCAACCAAACCAAACCACCTCTCCTCTCCTCTTCTCTTCTCTTCTCTTCTCTCAATTAGGAGAAAGACTTCCCTGAAACGAAACGGGGATAACACTATTTTACATTACTAAGATTACACTAATTTAATATGAGTTGGGTAAATTGTACATTACAAAGATTCCTATATCATGTGAGCTACCAAGTGGTAACATTATTACCAGGATTTTAAGGATCCTACCAACTCATATTAGAAAGAATGTAATGAATGACGGGTTATAACGAGGGGTCCTTACTAGGTTTCAGATTAATTATTGGACTGCTGGATTGAACCCTCAACACACTCCCATAACATAGACCTGTTGTGGATAGTCTGTGAGCCCACATTCCAATTTTAAGACCATCACTCCCCAATTACACTACAGCCCAGCCCATATCTCATGCAAATGGACTTTGAATATTTCACTAGGAGATTATGGGCCCATCCTCATTCTCTCCAAAATCCAAGGAGAACCAAAGAAGGAAAGAAAAGTAAAATTAAAGCACCTGAAAAAGCGACAACCTCTGAATATTGAATTGAATTCCGATTCTGAGGTCCAATCGGATTAAAAGACCGAAAACCCCAAGAGCATCCCAAGAAATCCGGGGCCTCACGTCCCCACGATTCCCTGAAAACCCCGAAACCCCCGTGTCCTCATCCGTCATTTCGATCCCACGAGGCTCCGCCTCCCAACCCTACACAAGATCTCTTTCCCTCCCTCTCAACAAGTTTCATGCAAAAGCAGCCTCAAACTCAAACTGGGAAAAATGATGGAGCCCCTGAACGAGCATGAGCCCTGCTCCCCATCCTCCCTCAAGCAAAAACTCCGCTCCTCCCTCTGTATCATTCCGTGCTTCCCCAAAACGACGCCGCACCACCACTCCATCACCGCCCCCACCACCCCCCACGCCCACTCCGCCAACGTCAGCCTCGTCCGCAACTCCTCCTTCTCCTCCTCCAGCAAGTCCCGCTCTAGCCATCACCACCACCACCACCACCACAATCACCACCCTCACCATCACGGCCATCACAACAGCCATTACGAGTTCGCGGAATTGAAGGACAAGTGCAAGAGCTTGATCGGGCGTATGGGACGGAGCCACACTGCGCGGAGGCACTCGGCCTCAGCCGACTTCAAATACGACGCCCTCAGCTACGCCCTCAATTTTGATCACGAGGAGGCGAACATCGAGGACTATCCCTTCAGGAGCTTCTCGGCCCGGTTGCCGCCCTCGCCGCCCCGAACCTCGCAGGACTCCGCCGCTTCTCCGTCTGCCTCTAAGGAAATAACTGCTTGTAGTTAATCATCATCTCTCGCGCGGGCCTCAGGTTCATTAATTCATTTTATTCATCAATTGTTTATCAATAATTAATTAGGTTCATTAAATGTAATTATTCATCATGTATATATATTTACGTGAACAGACACAAATTTTGGTCTGTTCATTAAATGTAATTATTGCTACGGTTACGGTAATTTTGCATGGTTTTAGTTCTTTTGAGAAGGACAAAGTTATAATTTGATCATCTTGAGATTAATTTCAAATAATAATTAAATTCGTAGAATCTTGTTAAGTCATCAATTAGTCGATTTACAAAAGTTCCGAGGTATAGCATGCATTGCAAGAGTATGGGCCACCCCGACCAGAGGAAGATCATCATATATTTATTGTAAGCCTGGGCCTTGAAATTTAATGAGCATGGCCAGAACTGGTCCAAAATGGCTACTGCCCATACTGAAATTATTAAGATGATGGCCTGCATGGTTGCACAAAACCAGACTCTCCCTGATGGGTATACATTTATTATTGTCTATTCCCAACTGCAGCCAGCTTTTATAATAAGAGGGTTCATATCCAAATATAACTTTGTAATTAATCGTAAGACTCTCAAATGGAACATTTCAGTGAGACGAGGTACTGCGATTGGGATCATGTCATGACCCATGACCTTCCTTCCCAAATTGCTAATTAACCTAGTAAAATACAACTTACAAGTGAAACAAAAACAAGCATCGTCTTTATTTTAAAAAAAACTGAAGCCAATTGGGAATTGGCCATGTTAGAAAGAAAAGCAATGCAAAAGAAAGTTGAGATATCCCAGTTATTTCGCATCTCACACACACCAGCAAGCAGGCATCATTGCTTACTGCAGGAAGGACA